CTTTCCTGCCTATGCAGGGGGTCGGACTCGATGATCTATTGAGGTCCCTTCCAATCCTAACATCTATGAATCTATGAATCTATGAATTATACAAGATCATTGGTAGCTGTTGTCCGTCCTTCAAAGAGAGATAGGGAGTATTCCTCACTTGTAAGAACCTCCTTTATCTGAATTTAACTTAGCCTGGTGTGGCAGAACAATAAGAAGGCAATGTTAGTATATCTTCCAATCTTCCCATAGACTTACCTGCAGGGAGCTGCTCTCCAGGGTGCCTGGCTGTGTTCCTGGCCACATGCATGAGTGTGGGTGTGCACATGCACGTGGCACCTCCTGTGTCCTGCTCCCAGCAGCTCCTTTCAGGCTGGAATGCTGCTAGCCTGCAAAGCTGAAACCCTGCACAACACTGCAAATCTGGGACAAATGCTGTCCTAGAGTCACGCAGTCCGGGACCAGGATTTGAGGTTCCCATTCCGTGACTGTCTTGCCCAATTAGGGACTAGTGGTCACCCTAGTATGAAAGCTAAAAAAGGCATCTCTGTTTAATGGCTCACTTGGGATTCAACAATGTGATGGGCTGAACACCTTCAAGTCCCATGGCTTAAGGGGAAGTTGAAAGCTTGCAACACCTAAAAAAATTGTGCTTTTACAGGGCAAAGAACAACTTACTAAACCAGATGTAAGTTTTTAAAAGAGCAACAGGTTAAGTATTCTATAAAAAAGAATATCTGTATGTATTAATCAAAAGAGCACATACACCATACAGTATTCAATGCCATAGAAAAATAGAAAGGACAACAAAAACTCTAGAAACTGTAGATGCTGTTAGAAGGTTCTAATCCATCTTACATGCTTGGAGTTTGTAGATGGGCATTTAATATCTATGTATGGTAGAGATAAACACAAGATCAGCAAGCCTGACTGGAAAATCAAGTAGCTTATTTTCACAGTTTGCCATCTTAAACACATGAATATTAAAATTAAACTTTTTTTTAAAAAGCTAAATAAGTACTTACTCCGTACTTGTTTAACAACAGGTTTCATAGGTTCGAGCCAAATCTGGAAGTATGCAAAGTTAACAATTAAAATTCATATCTATATGCTGCATGAAATACAAAACAATTTCAAATGAAAACAGTACATACTAAATGAGTTCAGCAACTTTTTCCATATAGTTAAACAAATATACTTAACTATGGGTTGAACTTAAAGTAGGTGTATTTCAAGACACAAAAAACATATATCAAAAAGCATGAAGATTAAGCATACTGCTATAAATCTGCCTGGTCAAAGTAGGTAAGAAGTCACATCAGCAAGGACCAACCAATATCACCGGTGCTAAAAGAAGTGGGCTTGGCAACAATGCAGAAACCACCCTGCACCCACAAGTTAGAGTTTGCAGAATTTGGTCACTTCATGCCTCCAGATTCTTAGTTTTACATACACAGGGGAAATCTGGGACAAGGTTTGTTTTTCATTTTTTTTACCTCTTGCCTTGTCTATGGGGGATAACATGGAGTTTGTTTCAGGAATTGGACTTCACAAAGATTTCCACACTTATTCGTGTGATACAATAGGAAAGCATGATCCTTAAGTATGTGCTCTCATGTTTCTTTCTGTTTTAAGAAAAGAAACAAATATGCCACTAATAAAATACTTTGTGCACATTCATTTTTCAAGATGAATTACTGTGAAGTTAAGTGACTTTTTTAACTTGGTCTCTGTTGGCTACATTTGCGTCTGAAAGAAGTTGGGGGTTTTAGCTAGCTCACAAACTGCTGACAGCAACAATCTGGAGGCTTTGCATAAGAAACAGAAACCCAACTATATCTGTGCCTGCCCCAGCACAAGAGGAACATTTACTGGTGTTGTTATAAGCCTTCTCTAGTTTCTGATCCATTCTGAACACTTGTGAATTGGAAGGCTTAACTGAATGAAGAAAAACTACACTAAAGAAGGTTCTGGGAAAATAAGCAGTAGGTCAGAAATCATGCTGCCTTATTTGCAAGGCACAACATAATAAACTAGGGTATTGACAGAAGGATTAGAGGTGAACAGAAGGATTGTATTCATGTGCATCTATTCTCAGAAGATAAAATAACTCCACTGTCTTAACTTGCGCTCATGTACGTGTAAACATTTAGCAAATTAGATGCTTTCCCCCTGGAGAAATGCACTGAGGCCAGAAATGCAGCACATTGAAACAAAACATTACATAGGTATAACATGACCGAATTAATGTTGCATTGACCCTACATTTTGAGCCAGTTTCATTTTATAGGGGAAAGCATCTTATGTTTTATTTGAATTTTCTGATAAAAAAAAAATCAATAAATAATGCTAAACAGGTAGACAGCATAAACAGAACAAACCTAGAAAAATGTCAAGAAGCAGTGTAGAATATGTATGCCAAAACTATGGCAGCGTATACGAATTATAAAAGAACAGTCTCTGTCTTGTCAATATTTCCTTTTAAAAGAAAACATTGGTAAAGAAGTCATCCAAAACACACTGAAGCACTGATTCTCAACCTTTCTAGACTCAAAGCATCACTTAGAAAATCCCACCTCTTAGCTTTCACTTGCTTTTGATTATGCAAAAAGCACAATTGTTTTTGCAAAGTACTCAAAAGACCACAGCAGGTCAGAATGGTTTTGACACCAGGGATACCTATTTGAAATCTCTGGGTTTACCTTGTGAATCACATGCAGGTGCTTGCACAGCTAACAGTGTTAATATTAAACATTACCTTGCATCACCCTTAAAAGGATCTCATGGCGTCCTAGGGGGCCATAGTTCCCTGACTGAGAACCATTGCTCTGAAGTTTCTAGTGAAAATATTGGGAAAGGAAAGAACTGGAGCTCAAGCAACCCCAACAATACAGGCAGAACAAGGAAGGAAAGAAAGGGGCTCTTTCTTGCTGAGACAGAGCATTTAATTAATAGAATCAATCTTCTCTGATAAAAACAGAAGCATCATCAACCAGCTAATTTTTGTAGGAGTAGAGTTTGGAAGTTCATTCAGATTCCTTTATGTATTTTTAATTTACATATTTCTGGAGCAGTAGGTTGACCTGATAGGTCACCGAGTCTACATTCTTCAGAAAAGTTACATGGGATTCAAAACTACTTCCGACAGTCTAGTAACAGCACTCATTCAAGCCTTATTTACTGTGAGTAATTTATCAGGAACTATTACATACCCAGTATGATTGGATGTTCTGGAACTCAATTCCAAAGTAGTCGGACTCAATTAAATTTAGGTGTTTATAAACTTCTGTCAGCACCGTCTGGCCATAGCATTTTGACTGGAAGAGTAAAAAAAAAAAAAAAAAAAAAAAAAAAAAGCAGCATAGTTAGATTAAGTAAATTACCTAGAGTTTTATTACAAGACAGGAAAGTTTTAAGCTAGGGCAGCTCCAGTTCAGCCCCTGACCTAAGTTGTTATCATCTTAGGGCTGCTCAAATACACAATGATTTGCAGTAGTCTTCTGTAGGGTTTTATATTGACAGGTGTCACAACAGTGTAGTACTCCATGCACTTGCCTATGTTGGGGCACTAGAGGAGGCTAAGAAAGGGTGACCAAACTGGCTATGCTGAATGAGGGCTGCATATGCACATGGAAAGCCTCAATTGAAAGTACAATTGGGATGTAGTGGGGGCAAAGGTAAGACTTCCAATATGTATATGAACAGATTCAAAGCCTGCTGGTAAGACACCACTTAAGTCCCTTGTTGACCACAACTAGAATTCAGGCTCTGCAAATTCAAGAAGTCCAGGAAAAAACAAAACATGGTGTAAAAGTTAGAAGACCGAAATCAATTATACACATGAAAAAGGCTAAGGTTGGATCTTTATTTAGCTCTTTCTCCTGGAACAGGACCTGTTCCTAGGAGAAGGCCCTTCAGGAACTCCCTACGTTAGTGCATCTAATTTGCACAGAGGAAGCTCCATATTTCCTCATCCTTACACCTTGCTAACAGCTCCAACAATACAAAAGGGAGAGATAAGAAAGGAAAAAGGAATCAATAGTAGCTGCTGCTCTGTAGCAACTGAAATCTACTTCTCATCATCTTCAGAGTCTATCACTCACACAAGCCAAGGAACACCTTCCAGAATCAAAGTAAACTTACTGTCTAAGTACACCAGAGAGGATCCACTTCCCCCATACACTCCAACCACAGACAACAACTACTTGCCTGCATTGGTCAGAGGATAACATACTTGCCACCACACATCTTGGCTAGGGACAGAAGTTACACATAAACCTATTTAAGTGATCAGAAACTGGCTTAAACCTGTAACAGAACATAAGCTCAGTACACCTAAGACAATTTCAAAATGGCCAAAACTGGTTTAAGATAAACCTGGTTCAATGTAACCTGGCTGAATGTAGCATCAGACTTAACTGATTTGGGTTCAACTGGTTTATGTAACTTCTGTCCCAGACACCTTCCGGGTTTAAGTTAAACCAGAATACTCCAGCATCCCAGCATGCTCTGCAGCCCTGGGCTGGACTGTACTCTCTGCTTCATAGAGCAGGGCTGGCCCTGTCCTTCTTCTCTCTAGTCTGAGCAGAGGCAGGGGCTGGCCAGATACATCCCGGCATGGCCCCGTTAAGGGAAAGTGGGCAGGGAAGGGGTTAATTCTTCCCTCCATCCCTTCCCCCACCCCCCTGCAGCCAGCAATCGGGGTCTGCCTGTCTGCAAGTGAGGGGCTGAGCTGGAGGTGGTGGCTGGGGCTAGCAGACCCCAGGTGTGATGGGGGCGGGGGGGAGGAGAAGAGTGCAGAAGGAATCTATGATTCAAACCCCTCCCCTTTTCTATGATTCTGCCCCTTTCACTTTAACAGAGGCATGCTGGGACAGCATCTGGCCATGCCCCCACCCCTGCTGCTGGAGGGGCAAGGGGATGGGGTTGGGGAGCAGCCTCTGTCAGGGTGCCCAGGATGGGGTTTATTCCCTCCCTCTTCCCTGTCACACTAGCAGGGACTGCAGCTGTTTCGGTATAGCCTCGTTAAAGCTAAGGGGACAAGGAGGGAGTTAATTCCTCTCCCCCCACACTGGGCACTTGCTGCTGCGGGGGAGGGGGGCTCTGTGCAGCACTTGGGGGACTCTTCCCCCTCCTCTCCCCTGCCGTGGGGCAGGGCAGGGGGTTCTGTGCGGCACTGCCTGCCTTGGCCCAGCCTGGGTGCAGGGAGCAGCTGTCACTGAGCCACAGCCGTTGGGGGTGGCACTGCTCCCGCAGCCCAGGCTGGCCCTGCTCATCCCCAGCCAAGATAGCTGCATGGCTGGGCTGGACCATGAGAACAGTGCCCTCCCCAGCAGCTGCAACTCAGTGACAGGGAAGTGGAGCCCCGTCAGTGAGCACAGCCTGGCCCGGCATGCATGGGCAGCAGCTGGCTGGGCAGTGGGCTACCCGGGCTGGCTCAGAGGTGCCACAGGGGCTTGTGCGCCTGTGGCAGCCCTTGTGGCAGGCAGCTACCAGGCTCCAGGCCCGCTGGCACCTCTGAGCCAGCCCGGGTAGCCTGCTGCCTGGCCAGCCACTGCCCATGTGTTCTGGGCCAGGCTGAGCTCGTAGTTGGTAGGGTAGGGTCAATCAACCCCAGCAAGGTGATTATTTAATTTCCTTTTGAAGACCCCCAGGGTAGGAGCAAGCACCACTTTCTTTGGAAGTTGGTTCCAGATCCTAGCCGCCCTGACTGTGAAGTAGTGCCTCCTGATATCTAGCCTGAATCTACTCTCAGTCAACTTATGGCCATTATTCCTAGTTACTCCCAGTATTGCTCGGGGGGAACAGGGACTCTCCCATTGCCTGCTGGTCCCCCTTGGCCAGTTTGTAGATGGCCACCAGATCACCCCTCAGCCTTCTCTTGTGGAGGCTGAACAGGTTTAGGTCCCATAGCCTCTGTTTGTAGGGCCTACCTTGTTGCCCCCTGATCATGTGAGTGGCCCTCCTCTGGACCCGCTCGTAGTTTCATAGTTTTAGGGTCGGAAGGGACCTAATAGATCTTCTAGCCCGACCCCCCGCCAGGGCGGGAGAACAACCCAAAAACACAAACAAAACCACTCACCCTAAAAACAAAAACGGGACTCAAATGAGTCCAGCCAGGTAAGTATCCAGCCTCTTCTTAAAGATCCCCAGGGTAGGGGCCAGCACCACCTCCCTTGGAAGTTGGTTCCAGCTCCTAGCCGCCCTGACTGTGAAGTAGTTTTTTCGGATGTCCAATCTGTACCTCCTCTCCATCAACTTGTGCCCATTATTCCTTGTTATGCCAGCAGGGGCTAGGGGAAACAGCGTCTCCCCCAAACCCTTCTGGTTCCCCCTAGTGAGTTTATAGACGGTCACCAGGTCCCCCCTCAGCCTTCTCTTGTGGAGGCTGAATAGGTTCAAGTCCCGCAGTCTCTCACTGTAGGGTCTGCCCTGTTGTCCCCGGATCATGCGGGTGGCCCTCCTCTGGACCCTCTCCATGTTGTCCACATCCCTCCTGAAATGGGGCGCACAGAACTGGACACAATACTCCAGCTGCGGCCTGACCAGCGTCGCATAGAGGGGGAGGATCACCTCCCTGGCTCTACTCGAGATGCACCTGTGGATGCACGACAAGGTCCGGTTAGCCCTGCCAACCATGACCTCGCATTGTCGGCCCATGTTCATCTTGGAGTCAATAATGACACCAAGATCCCTTTCCGCCTCCGTGCTCTCAAGTAGGGAGCTCCCCATCTTATAAGTGTGCTGCTGGTTCCTACTACCCAAGTGCAGCACCCTGCACTTGTCCGTATTGAAACGCATCCTGTTCCTGTCTGCCCACCCCTGTAACCTATCCAGATCCTTCTGCAATCTCTCTCTCCCTGCTAGCGTGCTCACCTCCCCCCAAATTTTGGTGTCATCAGCGAATTTAAACAGGTTGCTCTCCACCCCAACATCAAGATCGCTGATGAAGACATTGAACAGCGCAGGGCCCAGGACCGAGCCCTGAGGGACTCCACTACCCACCTCCCCCCAAGTCGAATATGATCCATCCACCACCACCCTCTGAGTGCGACCCTTCAGCCAATCTGCAATCCATCTGACCGTGTAGGCATCTATGCCACAGTCGCCTAGTTTATTAATTAGGATGGGGTGAGAGACGGTGTCAAAGGCCTTGCTGAAGTCCAGAAAGACTACATCCACCGCGACACCTGCATCCATGGCCTTTGTGACCTGATCATAAAAGGCAATCAGGTTGGTCTGACATGATCTCCCCCTAATAAATCCATGCTGATTGCCCCTGAGCATCATCTCGGATGCCGGCCCATCACAAATGTGCTCCTTGATGATCTTCTCAAAGAGCTTCCCCAGGATTGAGGTAAGACTGACGGGCCTATAATTGCCCGGGTCCTCCCTTTTCCCTTTTTTGAAGATGGGGACCACATTAGCTACCTTCCAATCGTCTGGCACCTGGCCCAAGCACCACGATCGCTCGTAGAGCCGTGCCAGGGGCCCTGCAATAACCCCAGCCAGCTCCCTCAGCACCCTGGGGTGGAGAGCATCCGGACCCGCTGACTTGAACGCGTCCAGCCCCTCCAGAAGCTCTCTAACCCGGTCCTCCCCAACCTGAGGTCTGAAGGCGATCCCCTCGCGTCCGGCTTCTATCACAGCAGGGAAGTCCCGGTCCCTGCACAAGAAAACGGAGGTGAAGAATTGGTTAAAGAGGTCCGCTTTATCCTCTGACGCAACCACCAGATTGCCCCGCATATCCTGCAGGGGCCCCACATTACCCGGCGCCTTCTTCATCCTCCCAATATATTTGAAAAAGGACTTTTTGTTATCCTTAATCCTGGACGCTAATCCGAGCTCTATCTCCGCCTTGGCCTTCCTAACAGCCCGCCTGCAGGCCCGAGCAGAGGAGGTATACTCCTCTTTGGAGATTACACCCCCCTTCCACCGGGCGTACGCCACCCTTTTGGCAAGCAGGCATTCCCGGACACCCTTGGTGAGCCAGGGGGGCTTCCGGACACTCCTGCCCCCTTTGCTTCTTGTCGGGATGGACACCCCTTGGGCCCCGAGTATCGTTTCCTTAAGGAACGACCACTCCTCTTGGACGCTGAGTTCCTCTGCCCTCAAGGACCCCAGTTCCTCTCCCACTAATCTCCTCATCTCACTGAAGTTGGCCCTCCTGAAGTCTAGGGCCACCACCTTGCTGCGGGCCCTTGACACTCTACGCTGGATGGTGAATTCCAGCATGCGATGATCACTATTGCCCAGGTGGTCAAGAACCTGGAGGCCTCTTACCAGGTCGTCGCCTGTGGCCAGGACCAGGTCCAGC